TCTGTCATTCAAACCAAAATGTTTTTTTTTTTTATGTAAGCAAAAAAAAAGGCTCTATCAAATGTTAAGTATTTCTACCGTCTCTCAAACTGACATTCCTATTTTATGCAATTTTTGCATTGTTAGATTTACATTCTACAACACGTTATCATGTCGATCTTACTTTTTTCTGATGATTTTTGTTAACTTATTCCTTGATATCAAGCTGCTAAATCACTACATTCCAAACGTTTAGCCTTTTACTATTGTCCTATCCTATGCATATGAATACGATTTGAAATATTTGTCAAATTTTGGAGTTTCTTTTGGAGTTTTCTTGCTATCTATATACACACATGTTATACCCAACTGCTGAGTTTTTCTATTGTATGTGACCGTCCATACATTTCTTTGTCTGAAGAGATAGTTTGAGTGAGGTTTTTTAAATGAATAAGTAAGTGGTATATTATTGTATGTGTGTGTGTGTGTGTGTGTGTGTGTGTGTGTGTGTGTGTGTGTATGTGTGTGTGTGAGAGAGAGAGGGAGAGGGAGAGAGAGAGAGAGAGAGAGAGAGAGAGAGACCGTCCATGAATGTCTTGGTCTACATAAAAAGTTGTGTGTGTATTGTTAGTGTGAGAGTGAGCGTGTTTAGTGAGTAGTACCTTGTCTGATACATACTTTGTTTGTGCCAGCTGATACTTGTTTGTAGTCAATCTTGGATAGTTTGTGGGAATTCCTAGTTTGTGTGACACTGAACTTCCTAGGATAGATCTAGGGGATTTCCGGTTTTCCCCCTCAGGGAAGGGGCTTGAAAAAGACAAACTTGAAATGATTTTAGTTTTTTAGTAACCTTTTCTATCATTATTATGTACGGATAGAACTTTAAAGACTTTTTTTTTTTTCGTTAAAAGGACTTTTAAAAATCGTTTCTGCATTTTAATGATTTTTCATAACCCTTTTTGTTTTTCTGCACGGAAAAGACTTTAATGGCCTTCTTAGTATTGAAATGATTTTAACCAGAACCTTTTTTATTTTTTCTATTCTGTTTGAAAAGGAGTTCAAAGACCTTTTCAGTACCGAAAGAACTTTAAAATCTCTTTTTGTATAGAAAATAGGTTTAAACCCATAGCCGTCACAGTGTCTAGTTGTTGTGTTTGTCCGATCAGATCCCGGGGTATAGTTGCCGTCTGTCTGTTTGATACTCTGTAATATCATTGATGGTTTTTTTCATACGATAAGTTTATTTCTAATTTATTCCTGGCAATCCATTGTACATGTTTTACTATGTGTTCAGATTTCTCTCTGCCTCAGATTTCTCTGTTTCAGATGTCTCTCTGCTTCAGATTTCTCTGTTTCAGAAGAAGAAGGTAAATAAATATTTTCCCCTTTGAGTTTTCACACTGGAGTCTGTATCTTTTTATTTGTTTCTTTGTTTGTTTCGGTATTTGTTTGGTTGGGGGTGTTTGGGTTTTTTTGGTTTTTGTTGGTGTTTGTTTTGTTGTTGTTTGTGGGGGGGTTTGGGGGGGGGGGGGGGGGGGG